CATTTTTCGTAGCATAAATTTCTCGGCCAACTCCGCAATGTCTTGTTCTTCCAAATAGCTCAGCAGTCCGTCGACTTGTTGCAAAGCCGCTTCGTGAGTCTTCCGCATCTGCACGGTGGGCTCTTCTTCGACTTCACATTGCTGCTCTTCATTCTTGGTCTCTCCCCTTGCTTTCTTCACAATTTCGTCGTCTGTCAAGCGCTCGAAGCCAGGTTCGTTGATGTCACACTCCAACCACTCGTTAATGTTTTCAGCATCAACGTTTTCACGACCCGGAACTGTTTTCACCATATCTACAAGAGTTGCCGTGGGCGTGTCTATATCTTCATTCTCTTCTTCACAACTCAAAAACTCAAAGGGGTTAGGTTGTTGTTGGCTTCAACATTAGGCATGAGGTTTCTCCATGATTTTATCAGGGTTGACAGTTTCACTGAGTCCCATGCAGATGCAATATTGTAGATGCTGTCCAAGATTGTGTAGTGTTTCCAAAACTCTTTTAGATCATAATCTTCTTCAATTTTGGTCATTAGCAGCTTGGTTCGGTATGTTCTCTTCATTGTTGCAATGACTCCTTGGTCCCTGGGTCCGTATTAGTGCAGTAACGTTTGGGGGGAGAAACTTTGCAAAAATTTGTCCGTCAGAAGACTTTAGTACGCTTGTTGCTGGGTGAGAAGGTGCGTTGTCGATCAGTAGCACAGGTTTTTCGATTTAAGATGTTTACGCACTTGAAGAACAAAGATTTTTTCGAACCATTCTTGAAAAATATTTCGGTTCATCCATCCTTTTTTTTTTTTTTTTTTTTGGTTAAAGTAATCAACGGGCAAATTTTCTATCCTTGTGCCTTTGAAAGATCTCTGTTTTTTTTACTTTCCAATAACAACTAAACAACAAGTCTAAGTTTATGTCCACCGGTAGTGTTACTGCAAGACATGATACTGATCCTTTCCTTGCTGCTTTTATGACCCGCCACTTTACTTTCACTTTCAAATGCTAAAATGCGAGTGGGAAGACATTTCCACAAAAGTCCTGATTTGTCGGCATTGTAAATTTGTTCAAAAGATAGCTCTTTTAAACCAAATTCTTCAAATTCATGGTGGAAATCATCGGCTGCTTGTTGGTCACCACTAAGTTTCTCCCCATGAAGTCCAATTTCTCGAATTCCATGTTGCTGCTTAAAACGAGTCAACCAGCCAGAAGACGCATCAAAATTTCCTTTCAGGCCTAACAACTCAAAAAAGTTGTTTGCCTTCGCCACAATGATAGACCATTTACAGGAATATCCTCTTTTTGAACTTGAGCTGACCACTCTGTCAATGCCGTGTCTAGCTCATCAAAAGTAGAACCCTTCATAGTTTTTCGTGTTTTCATTGCGGAAGCACTGTCCGACATTGATGCAAAGTTCACCAGTTTGTCTTTTTCCTTTAGAATGTCACGCACTGGTGTTTCTGGGATTCCGTAATCCAATTCCATCTGCAGTCTTGTAGCGCCATTTGCTACTTTGGAAACTAATTTCTAGTTTTTGCGCAATCGTCAACACAACCTTCTTTCGTTTTCCTGACATTTAAAATCGGTAACGAAAAACACAAAACCAAAAAGCACAAGCACTGAACACAATAAAGATAAGAAATTAACTCCAACCGGTTCGCAAACACTATTAGGCTTAAACTAACAATGGCGAGTGGGAGGAAGTGAACGTGTCAGTAAGATCCGAGATTCCGATGGAATGGGCAGTGCCCATTCCATCGAAATCTCAATTATTCAAGACGAGAGAGGGCGATGGAATGGGCACTGCAAGGGTGAGTAAGAAATCACTTACTCATCAGAGGGGAATGTTCCGAGAAGACCTGGGATATTTTTGCCATAAATAAGCACAATGTTAGCAAATTTAACGTTTCGCTCAGTTTTGTGAACATTTTTATTTTCTTTGCTTTACTCTTGTAAAAGAAAAACTTTGTGCGGCAAGTGCAGATAATCCGCTCCATGGATAATCAGGAGTTTACTGTATATTTAATTGTGAGATAAAGGGAAAATTATATTATTCTAAAATGAGTATTTTATAAAATTTTTAAGGAAAATATAACAATAAAGGTTTAAAATTAATTCTGACAACTACTTGAATGTTGTTCTCGTAATGTACCAAAAATTGGAACAATTAAATGACAAATTTAATTTATACAAGTTTTTTTTGAAAGTTAGGCTTAGCAGCGCAAATTGCCCGTCCCCACAAGACGACGTATCTGGTTAACTCACCGTCCCAAGAGAATGCTTCGGTAACAGAGGTGTACGTCGTGAACGGGTTAAAAATATTTAATTTCCATGTGCAGAAATGTGTACAAATCCTGTTAAATGAGACAGTGCAGAATAAAAAAGGTCAACTGTTATGAAATTTTCAGTTGCAGGCATATATCTCAATATATCATTTTATTAGAAAAAATCCATTTATTTCCTCAATATGTAAGTTCTTTCAAATGCACTGTAAGAGAAAATTTTAGTTTAGTTTTTATTAATCATCTTCTAGTGATCAGTAAAGAGAAAAATATAAAGCGTATTTATTATTCATCATACTGGATTTCCTATATTTTGAAATATAAAGAAAAACAATTAAATTTCCCAGAAATAGCATCTAATACAGTCAAAAGTCGTTAATTCGGACACCCATAATCTGGAATGATCTGTAATCTGGACCTCAAAGCTACAAACTTTCTGCACACATGTGTCGCGTTGACACATGCGCATAGGCATTTACGCGTGCGCGTAAGACCTTTAAGGCTGCGAATATGCGTGTGCGCAAGCGCATAATACGTTTACGCATGTGCGTTTAATGTATAACGAATGGTATAAGCTAAGCTAAAATTATCTAATTCAGTTAATGTTGCAGATTGCGTTGTTCTTTAATCTTCGAATTGATCAGGCTTATTATTTTTTGCAGACTGTTTGAGCAATTTTATAAAAGTAAGCTTGAACTTTCGATTATGTCAAATAGAATTTCCAATATATATTTACTAATATGTAAAGGATCTACAAAGCGAAGGTATGTTTTGAAATCCGAAATCTGTTTATCAATTTCACGCTGCTCTGCGGCAGGAGAGGGGAAACGCTGCGGCGTGCAATGAATTGGAAGTTGAGCTGTGAGCGCTATCCTTATCTTCAGAGCAGATGTTTTTATTTTATTTGGCTTAAAATTTCTTACTAAAGGTAGTATTTCATCTCGATGTACTCCGTCTTTGATATGATTTAAATCCAAGTTCCTCGTCATTATAATACGCTTCCGATAGTGAAGAAAGTGACAGAGGTTATTGAAAACGATAAAATTTTGATTGACAAATTAGTCAAGTGTTCTCGACACAGCAATTATAGGACTTGAACAGCAGAACTTTGTAGCTAAACAAGAAATTATGTCTGTTTAATAGAATTAAAGTATTATCACATGAAATGAAGCAATTTAAACAACTTATATTGAAAGAAATGTTTAATAAAGTAAACAAATAAATATTAAGCTTTTTCTTTTTGTAAATTTTGATACTCTTTAGATCATAATTGTTCTTTATTTCATAAATTACGGTTTCATATTTTTAATTTTGTAATTTCTGCATGCCATCTTTCCAGATTTAAATTGATGATCTATAATCCCGAAAAATCGATAATCCGGAATCGCCGAAGTCCCGAGGAGTCCGGATTACCGACTTTTGACTGTATTTAAGTTTTAACAATCCATTACAAATTTTAGTTTAACTCGTAAATCGTGAATAGTGAATGAAATAAGTGAAAGTTGAGTAAATACACGAGAAAGAGAAGGGGTAAATGTTATAACATCTTAGAACAGCTTATCTATTGTGATGTCATGCTCAGGTTTTTTTAACTATCTAGAAGGTGTTGCCACTGAGTTGTTTGGTTGCATGTTGCTATGATTCGATTGGTTGTAGTTGTTATGAACACTTGCTGCATTGAACTTTTTAACATATTTATTAATAATCTATATAAAGGGTAGTAAACATTAGTAACAGTACAAAAGACTATCAACATAAATTAACAGTCATACAAATGCACCAAATAGTATAAGTTAACCATTCCGCTTTTAAAGGTAAGTGTAGTTATTTATCATGTATAGTCCAAACACATATTTTTTCCTAGCAGTAAGTGTTTTAAACTTCTTTCTAATCCTCTGTGTATTTAATGTGTGTGATACACGGGGCAGACTGAAGTAGTCATGCCCATTTACCTTTTATGTTGTATTTTAAATTCCCTGATTTGTTATAGTGAAGACATGTGAGAGGAATTGCTGAATGATGATTAATAATCCCATTGAAATCAAGAATGTTTCTGTGACAGATATACTGCAGGCCATTGTGTTTGTCTGAAACTAGTTGTGGAATTACAGCTGTTGTAATATCACTTAGAAATATTACCTGGGAGCGTATTGTTTTTGTAATGTCAGAACACATTGGTTTACGCTTGCTAACAGCATGATAATTTGGGAATTGTCTTTAGATTGCACAACTTAATATGGTGAACACATGCTTTTTATCTCCATTGAGTTTAAATAACCGAGGTTCTTGTAGCCTGAGTTATTTCAAAGACCAAACATCCAAATGATGAGTGTGGCAAGCAAAAATTTTTGAATTCTTCCACTTGCTTTTCTCCTATTAATTGATATATTATTTCTTGGATGTCTTAAGAATTCTTGTTATCACTAGCCTGCATTCATCCATCCTAAGCTATATTTTTTCCTGTGGGCTTATTTCTTAATTTGGGTTGCTTTGTGATGTATGTGTGTATGTTTTGTGAATATATTGTGTATTTGTGAATATATTATGAATAGTGTATCATTTGTGCTCAGCCTCAAGAGCTATGATTATTCATATCAGTTTTATAAAAACTTAGATTATAAAATATTTGTTTCTGTATATAAAAGAATAGTTTAGACATAGTACAAAAAGTTTTCATGGAAATTTAGGAATCAAAAACTTACCTAATAATTTTATGAACACTTTGAATTTCAGTTGAAAATACAGACGTAATTGCTCCAGCTAGTGAAGAAGCAAAATCCAGAGGACCTAGAATTAAACATGTATGTAGAAGAGCTGCTATTGTGCTTGGTTTACCTCGAGCAACATTTTCTGAACCTAGTGAACCTAAAGATTCTTTCAACTTAAGTGCTTTACCTGAAGATGAGAAGCAGAAAATACTTGAAACAGTGCCCCAGGATGATAAGCCAAAAACACCTGAGGCAAAAATTGGTAATTATTAATTTTTTCAGTTAGCTTTCTCCCTTTTCACTTCCCTGTACTAAGTAAAGGAAGTTTCGTAATCACGAAAAATTCTGGGTATCACATTGCAACGGAAATATCCATTATGACTGCTATTGAATGCAATTTAATGATGTTTTGACATGAAATCTTGATTAAGGATAGAATAAAGGACATTATACAGCGTAACATAAAACATTTATATGCTTCTATACCAGTGTTTCTGCATGTACTGATGCTTGAGGTGTTCCTACATTATATTAATCTGTAATTATTCTGGACCGCCATTGCTGCAATAAATAACATTACTTGGTTTCATGGTTTCTTTATTCCCTTAGTCATGCATGTTCTTAACGTGTTTCATCACGATTCACTGCTTTTTCTAGGTGTGTCAAATTTTTTCTTACAAGAGTGAATTTTGTTTTATATATTATGAATTTTTAAATTGCAGAATTAATTATGTCTTAACTTCCGGAACAGAATTCCATTCTTACTTTAATTATAAACTGCTAATTTTAATTCTGAATGTAGTAGTTGAAAAAAATTTAAATATTATAAATACATTGGTGCTTCGTCTTTTAAAAATATGTTTTTGTTGCATAAATACTAAGAATTGTAATTCTCTATATACAGTTTTATCAATTAATTGATTGTTCTTTAGTTTTCTGATTGATCCAGTGTATGAACATGTAAAGTTACAAATATGCTTTCCATTTGAAAATTGTGATGCTTTGTCACAGATTTCTATATTGGATTGCATATTTTGAGGTAGTTATCAGGATTTTTCCATTTTGAATGTGATACACTTTATTGTTAACCAACAACAACAAAAAATAACATGTATTAAAAAACAAAAACGGTCCAAATTTTAGTTTTAAAGTACTTTTTTAAGTGTAGTCTGTTTTTAATTTTTAGTCCAAAGGGCAAGACCCTAGAAGGGCTATTAATTGCAAAACACTATTTTGCGTTGATTTACTTTTCAAAGTGTTGCCACGAAATATTATCGCCATGTATTATATTTAAAGAAACTAAGTAATGAAGAATCTGCATGAATGTTTCTCGCATTTTGAAGAAACAATGGTACCTAGAGCCATCGAATTTTGAATAACGTATTCCAACTGAACATAGGCACTTGGAAGCCCGAATTTTGAATTAGTTTTATTATCTATTTAAAGTTTTGTGAAACTTAACTAATTTTTGATTAACAAACTCAAGGATTTCAAAGCGAGCTGTGAGAACACTGTACGGGGGGGGGGGGGGGGAGGGATTTATCACCAACGTACGAGACTGTGTATTGGAAATTCTTAAGATATGCTGTTTTTAAATAATTTGTGATATTGCTGTTGAATTGAATTTTATGTGTTTTATGTTCTAGGAACATGATATTCAATCAATAAAGGTAACACGCAAGATGTTTAAAAAATTCCCTTTTGGGCATAATATAAAATCTGAAAGCTTTCAGATTTTTTCCTAATTATTTTTATTAATATTAATCAGTTTAAAATTTCTTAGTTTATCCAAATTTATTGCTTTGCAGATTTTAGGCTTAGCAGCATCTTCTGCTGTTAAACAGGTTGAATATATTTTTTCATTTTAAAACTTTTGTTACTCTAATGTTACAGTTTCTACAAACTTATACCTCTTTTATTTTTATTTATTATTTTAAAATTTTTATTTAAATTATTTTAGTGGATATTATATTTTAATTTTTAACTATTAAAAGTTTTTGTCATACTGCAGTATATATTTAATATCTGGGTGCTTAATATTTAATACAGACTTGTTACTTAGCTCATTCCATCTTTTCTCAATTTTTATAGCTCCTACTGAGAATAAATCAAATTCTTCAAACAAGGCCACCAAGCAAGGGAAGAAAAAAGTTCATAAGGATCTGAAAGTAAAAAATTGTGCACATTTAGGGATATTAAAAAAGTCATCACTTTTAATTCACAAGGAACAAAAAAGAAGAAAATTACTTATGAAAAAATCACTGAAACATTTGCACAAACATTCTTTTAAGAAATCTTTAAAACTTGGGAAGAAAAGTGAATTGAAGAAAACTCTAAAATTCTCTTATAAAAGTGCTGTAAAAACTTCAATGAAACGTTCACCAAAAGTTATTTCTAAACGACCAGCTAAGACTGTGAAATTTCGAAAAGTTCGTTGCAAGCAATGCGAAGGTTGTCTTGCTGAAGACTGTGGAGAGTGTGCATATTGTTTGTAAGTAAAACTAAATTTACTTAAATTTTTGTTTTTTAGCTTTACTGTTTTTTGATGAACTTTTTATCAGATATGTTTCAATTTTGAACTACCCCAAATTTAGGTAACTATTTCTTCTTTAGTGATTTAGAAAATAGGCTTATAAGAAACTTTTTTTTTTAATGTAAAATAATTTTGAACTACCGAATTTCAAAGTAATGGTTTTAAAGTGATTTGATTAGTGGTTCAAGAAATAGTATTAAGTTATTTGTGCGTATAATTTTGTTCTAGAAATAATGGAAGTGTTTAGCCTACTTAAAATTTAGTGAAAAGTTTCTTCACTGAAATATTCTCAAAATTTTAGAGTAAAAATTTTGAAGAAGGATGATAGAAAGATTATGCAAGATGCAGTCATGTTAAACTCATTTCTGAAATGCTGATACTAAAATATGCTTTGACTGAGCCCTTTATTTATCGCTCAGTTTCTGACAAGAACTACATAGTTCACACTCATGATTTATGTGCTTCTGTGATGGCAACAATATACTTGTTATATATTCCGGCATATAATGCGCACTTTTAATGCAAAACATAGGATGGAAAGTTTCACAGGAGCCATATTTACTGCTAAAAGGAAAGGAGTACTAGATCAACTGTATTTCAACTGAAGAAAATGCAATTTACAAAAGCCTTTAATTTTGACTTCAAATGACTACAGAAAGAGAAAATATCTTAACTCCTAATTCCTGGAATTCATTCAAAAAGTGTTTTACAATAGCATTCTTTTGGACATATGCATTGAATACAATCCACCCTTTTTGCTAGAATATTTACTCCCTCAAGCTGTTCCCCTTATCGCTTGTCAGTGTAGTTTACCATTGTTCGAAAGGCTAGGACAAATGTTCGAGTAAGTGACTTGAAAAGAAAATAACATTGCAATTGTATCTTTTAGGTTTCTTCGGGAAGATTTGAGTATGCGTTATACGGTGAATATACCTAAAAATTAAAAAATGTAGCTTGAAATTATAGATGTGCGTTATAGGCCGGAAAATATGACCTTGGTCCCTTCAAAATAAATTCATTTAAGAATTGCAACAGGCACTCTGTTTATAAAATTCTTCAATGATTTTACGTCACAAATGATAAAAGTGTGGAGCACTCTTGATAAATTAAAAAAGTTAATGGCTTATTCATATGAGAGTGCAATTCAATTATTGGATTTTGTTAATTAGGTGCCCACACTTTTATTATTCATGATGTAAAATTTTAAATGAATTTTGTAAAGGTAATTTTTTAATATCTTGTTTAAACTGTATAAATTATTTTTCTTCTTTTAGTTCATTAATTATTTAATGTTTTAAATAAAAGCTTATTTTGTAAATCTTTTATTTATTTATTGAACGACTTCTAAGGACCACTTCTGCTTTTGTAAAACTGGAAGAAATTAAAATTTAATAGGCTACTAAATTAAATAATGGAATCATTGTCATATAGGTATTACAAATTATTTGTACTTATAATTAAAAATAGCATTTTAGTGGCATCATCTAAGAAATAAATATCTAACTAAAAGCAGTACATTGTATACTACATCATTACTGCAGAACCCTTCCATAAAAAAGGTGGGAAAGAAATAGCATTTATAAAATAGTAGGAGACTTCTATAGCAATTTCTTTGCAAGTACTTTTTATAGCAAATGATAGGAAATTAATTAATAAATAAAATCAATATTGAAGAAGTCTGAAAAAGTAAGAAATGTAATAATGACGTAATGACATCATAAGCTTGAGACTGTTTCCAAGCAATGCCCAAGAAAGAACTAAAATTTCCCCTTCTGCTTCATACAGTACAAAGTCCATTATGCGAAATGATCTATAATCCAGACCTCAAAGCCACAAACGTTTTTTTGGTAGGCTTTACGCATGCGCGTAATGTGTTTACGCATGGGCGTAGTGCGTTTACGCATGGGCGTAGTGCATTTACGCATGCACATTTAATGTATAACGGACAGTGTAAGTTAGGCTAAAATTATCTTTACTGATTCCAAAGCATTTCAGTTAATGTTGCCGATTGCGCTGTTCCTTAATCTTCTAATTTGATCCGGCTTATAATTTTTTGCAGACTGTTAGAGCAATTTTATAAAAATTAAGCTTGAACTTTCGATTATGTCAAAAAGTTTCCAATTTTGGAGCTGCCAAAGGAATTTCAAAGCGAAACCATGTTTCGATGTCCATCAAACAAAATGTGGGATCGCTGCAAAAAAATGGATAAAGGGATATCCGTCTCAAAATTATGTGAGAAGTATGGCACTGGATGACACAAGAAAAAAGAACTTTTTGAATTTTTTGTGGAAGCATCTTAAACAACTTACATGGAAAGAAATGTTTAATAAAGTAAACAAATAAATATTAAGCTTTTTTGTAAATTTTGATACCCTTTAGATCATAATTGCTCTTTATTTCATAAATTATGGCTTCATATTTTTAATTGTATAATTTCTGCATGCCATCTTACCAGATTTAAATTGATGATCTATAATCCGGAATCGACGAAGTCCCGACGAGCCCGGATTATGGAATTTGTACTGTACTGCATTTTTTTTATTGATATAGAAAATACCCAATTAATATCCTTCTATCATTTTTTGTAAAAAAAAAAAAAAAAAAAAAAAAAAAGGCAAAATATTAGTTTTATAGTCTGTGAAAATAGTGAAAACTATTACTTTCTAGATGTAGAAATTTTAAAATAATAAATGTCAGATAGTGGGTAAAAATCAAGAAAAAAGTCAAAAATTAGGTTCAAAATGTCATTTAGCAGATTCCCCCCCCCCCTTTGTGTCTGATAGTGCAAACAATAAAATTTAAAGAGTTTATTTTCTTGGGGGGGAAGAGGGTATGTGTAAAAATCGTCCTAACTTTAAATTTTAAATCAAGCTTTGAAACAACTGCAAATCTTTAACCATAGTAGTGAACACAGTGAGTAAGTTTTAAATCAAAGCTTATAAAAAAGCAAAGGGGATATTTTATGACAATACTTTTTACCTCGAATTTTGCACCAATCTCTTTTGAGTTATATTAAATTTCATTGAAGATGTAAAAAGTGTATTAAATATTTTCTATTTGTGTATTGCTTTTGTCCAAAAAGTTAATTGAGAACTTTTAAAATTTGACTTCATTAAAATAGTTTGAAAAGTATTTCAAGCTTCTTAAGCTGTTTTAGATTTGCAAAAGCAACTCTCACGTTTGTCATAATTATCTAACTTTAAAAAAAATGCTGTATTAATATTTATAGTTTTTCGTAGGCATAATTAATACATTTACTTAATTTTCTAGTGATTTTTTATATTTCTTGTTTCTTATTTTAGGGACAAAAAGAAATTTGGTGGACCTAATCTGATCAAACAAGCATGCATGTAAGTTAATTTTTTTGCTAGCATATGTGTTTTGTATTTGTAAACTTTATTTTAGTAAGCAAACTGAATATTTTTATAATTTATTTTTTAATTATAAAATTTTATAAATTTCATCAGGGTTGCCATGCTACCTGGAAAACCGGGTATTCAAAAATTGACCAAAAAAGTAAGGGAGTTTAAATATTTTAGTTAAAATCTGGAAGAGTCAAGGAATGTCATACGGCAATACCTCAAAAAGTGAGATTTGCGCCAATGTTGGAAGTGATGGCTTTGTTGGCGAATTATGTATAGAATGAGTGTCATTTGGGCGCCTGGCGTAGACTCAATTTTCGCAGTTCCAATCCGATTGTCTTTTAGAAAGTCAAAGCAAGTTTCCGGCAAGTTTGGTTTCCAGTAACCTCAAGAATCCTAAGACTCGCATGTGCAGGTTATGTTGAACTAAAGAAAATACCTTCCCATTCTTGTATACAACAAAATCGGTTTAATCCTAATATACATTTCCATGGAGGCTAGAATAGCCCCCATGTACTTTGTTCGAATGTAAGAATGTCTACATAAAGAAAGGTAGGTTTCAGAGACATAATGTAAATCAGTTTGCTAGAGTGCTGTTAGAAAGCAGAGGGAAAAAGTCACCAAGGGAATTGGCGATGGAACCTGACGGTGAGAATTTCCCCCTTCAGGATGTGTACTGGGTTTGGGAAGCATGTGTTAAGAAGAAACGTTCTTTGACTTTCGCAATAAATTATACTCGGATTTTCGTATTTTTTTTTGTTTTTTTTTGCTCAAAATAGCTAATCTATTAATTAATTTATTCGCGCAAAAAATATTTCCTTTTCCTTTAAAGTTTAAGGAAATTTTTAATAATATTCATTTTATAGAATCTTGATAAACTTGACCTTCGAACTTCGCGAGCTTCGGCGACAGGTGGAACTTTAATGGTGGCAACTATTTATTTACAAGGAATACAAAAGTGATTCATGTCACCATGTTTTACAGTCCTTCAATATAGTCGTCAGCATTGTGTAGAACCCGTTTCCAACGATGTGGAAGTCACAGAATACCTGTAGCAGCACCTGTTTTGTTGATAGTTTTAATGGACCGGTCTACTGCCGCAAGAATCTCAGGAACAGTTTGGAAGCGAGTGCCACAAAGTGGTTCCTTCATCTTAGGAATTCAGAGTTGCCAACTCTCCCGATTTTCGACCGCTCTCCCGCCAACCCGATTTACAATATATTTCTCCCGACTTTTTCTTATTCTTAATATTTCTCAGGATTTTTATGGAACTTGGCTTAATACTTCGTTATATGAACAAAAAAAAGTGATTTTTCTCTAGATTATATCTAAAATGAAACCTTGCGTATCAGATGAGAATTTCTGCTTTGTGAGTCGACAGCATACGTATCCAGAAACTTCGTTCTCCAGTTCTCCAATGGGCATCGAGCTCCACTGCGTGTCATCCTGGCATATATTAGCCAATGAGCACAAAGCAAGCTCAAGGCCATTGCAAAGAAAATTCTTTGGCCGTTGGGCCGTTATTTGGACGTTCTTTCGCTTATTTCGTTCATCTTGTCCTGAGTTGTGTGAGTACACGTGCCTTTAGGGAGAGAGTTTTAGAAATTATCGTCTTTTGATTGTGTCTGCGAGAAAGGTGAAAGACTCGTGCACGTTTCAAAAATCGTACACAGTTGACTTTCCTTCCATTATTTCTTCAAGGAAATGTAATAAATTTGCGAGGTGTACCATCTGTCGTTGCAATTTTTCGATTTCGCTTGGTGGAAGGGCAGATGTTCTCAAACATGTGCGTACACAAAAACAAAAGGACAACATGCGTTGTTTTGAAAAAACGAAAAATTAAATTTTTCTTCGGAAACAAAAGACCAAAAAGTGATTAATGCAGAATGTCTGTTCTCTGCCTTTTTACTGGAGCACAACCTGCCACTGAATGCATCGGATCACGCTGCAGCTTTATTTAGAAAAATGTTTCCCGATAGTGAAATCGCTAAGAAATACTCAAGTGCAAGGACCAAAACAGGTGCAATTGTTAAACAAATGGGTTTGAAAAATAAATATTCAGTTATTGATTGCATTAAAACAGCTCCGTTCTGCCTCTCTACGGATGGAAGCAATAATACCAATTCAAAACTGTATCCAATTGTTGTTTCTTTTTTTAATCCAGAGTCTTCAGAAATTGAGTGCAGTTTACATTCTGTCCCCACTTTAGAAGGACATTCGACAGGCTTTAATATAGCACAGCTAATTATTAAAACTTTAAAATAAAATGCAGTCCCTCTGGATAATTGCTTAGCGCTTGGTGCCGATAATGCACCAGTAATGGTAGGCTTGAAGGCTGATGTTGCAGGCATCTTAAGAAAGGCAAATTCAGATTTGCAGATTATGAGGTGCACCTGTCACCTCTTAAATTTAGCAGCTGAAAAAGAGGCAGCTTCTTTACCATTAAATGTGGATGAACACATTGTTGATATTTATTATTATCTTGAAAGGAGTTCTAAAAGAAAGGAAAAATTGAAACATTCCAACACTGCATAATACTGAAATGAGAAAAATTTGATTTTTTGTAATTTCTGCATCATTCAGCAATTCAACTGGCAGTTCTCAAAATAATACTGCAAAATATAAGCTTAAAGCTGATACAAAAATTTCTCTCAAAATAAAAGAAAAAATTGCTCAACACACGAAACATTTTCCGATTACTGTAAGTTTATCTTGTGAAGAACAAATATTTATGTTTTTTTCTTCGGACCTTAACAAAGCTTTTTTTTTTTTTTTTTTTTTTTTTTACAATTCATTTTGCCATCATTCGATGTTCTGATTACAATTCTACAAAGCAGAATTCCATTAATTCATGTTTTGCAATCGATGATTTATGATCTGTTTAAAGACATTTTATCAAAGTTTGTAAAACCAATCTTTGTTTTGTTTTCTAATTCTATATATGATGTAATTTATGGTCAAATAGAAAATCAGATGAAGATTTGGTAACAGGAGCTGCAACTAAAAAAGTAGTGGAAGACCTTTCTGATTAAGACAAAAATAAGTTTTATATCCATTTTAGAAGTTACTTCTGCCGAGTACGTGATTGCATACTTCATAAATTTCCAATCAACGATTAAATGATTTTGCATGCTAACGTTACAGATGTTTCTGCTCTAGTAAATGCATCTTTTTCTGATATAAGATATTTCTCGAATATATTTCTAGTCTTACTTCATTTAGTCATGAAAGATGATGTTATAACTGAAAAATTGCAGTAGTAATTTTGCAGTTTACAATTAGAAAACTTGGATGAAGTTATAAAATCAGCTAGGATTGACACCCAGTGGAGGTTAATTGGAAAATTGAAAGGTGCTGATGGAATTTTAAAATATAGTGAACTCTCTAGAATTATGTTGGCCATCTTGACAGTTCCCCATAGTAATGCAGAGTGTGAGAGGATTTTCAGTGTTGTTGCGAAAACGAGGACTAAATTTAGATCTAATATTAGTGATGACACATTAGAAAAATTTTTATTAGTGAAAGCAGGCCTACGTGGCAATTGCTATGAACAAATTATGAAGTTTTCTTTCTTAACGAGAACAAAATCTGCCACTGTCCATAACATTTGTATGAAAACTGACTGATTAAAGTGCCCTTTTTTTTTTTTTTTTTTTTTTTTAAACGAAAGTAATAAAAATGTTTTTTATGTCTAAGGTATTTTTGTTTTGCTTGCATTTATGACTTAGTAACTATTTAAGTTAATTCATTATTAAAAACTATATTTTATCATTTAAAAGTCTTTTAACATTGTGAAATCTCTCTGATTTTGAGTGTCATAGGTTGGCAAGTATGGGAATTAAGTCATAGTCACAAGAGCTTAGATCTGGGGAGTATGGTGGATGGTAAAGCACTTCCCAGCCCCATCGCTTGAACAAATCAGTCACAGCTTGCGCTGCATGCGGCCGAGCATTGTCATGCAAAATGAGAGGAGCGTTCTGCAGAAAGTGTCGCCGTTTTTTTCTCAAAGCTGGTCGGAGATTGTGCTCCAAAAATGAGCAGTAATACTGCGCAGTGACGGTCTGCTGTGGGGGAACGGTATGCGTTAGGATGACACCATCACAGTCGTACACGAGAATCACCATAACTTTCACATTGCTGGGGTTCTGACGAAATTTCGAACGTCGTGGTGACCCGTGATGACGCCATTCGTTTGATTGGCGTTTCAGTTCTGGCTGGTACGATCGGGCCCAAGTCTCATCCAGCGTAATGATACGGCGTAAAAAAGCATCTCCTTCGCGCTCATAGCGCTCCAGGTGGGTTTGGGCAGCATCGTATCGTAGCCATTTCTGCATTTCCGTCAATTGATGTGGAACCCATCGTGAAGCAATTTTTCTCATGGACAGGCGTTCCTTCAGAATGTGCAGCACAGTCGTATGCGCTAATCCTGTTTGTCCGGCCAGCTGACGAATCGTTTGGCGGCGATCACTGTCCATTAGTGCGGCAACAGCTTGCACGTCTGCATCGCTGACACTCGGACGACCTGGCCGCAGCATGTCTGCCACGTTTTGGCGTCCTTCATTGAATGCTTTCACCCATCTTGCTACGGTTCTGTAAGGCAATGCAGATTCCCCGCAAGCCTCTTGAAGCCCTTGATGACACAGTCATGCTGTACGACCCTTGGCACATTAAATTTTTATCCAACATCGTTGTTCTTGTTTTGAAAACATCCTGACAACACTTACTTTAGACCGCGAGCTAATACAATAATCTGTTCTTTGCATCACTCTGCATGCGCGTGACGTAGGCAGAACGAGTCTTTTTGCTGAGAGATAAGGTAAGTATGTAGTTCACATGTGGTATACAGGATATTCTTTGGTTTTGTTGCATAGCGTTTTTTCAGCTGTGTTGCCACTATTAAAGTTCCAACCCTCGTATTTTGTGTATACGCAGCTGTTTCCCTCTACGTTGAGATGGAGCCATTCCTGTTGCAGAGAAGTTTTTTTTAT